ATAACTACAAAGTCGTTGGCAGCAAGGACCGCATCTTTAGTTTTGCTAAGCCATATGATGATGGGTTCTTGTTGAGCGTTTATTTTTGTGTTGTGTCGTAAGAAAGGCAAAATGAGTATGAGTTTCAGTTTGTCCCACATGCAGAATTAATTAATGTACTTTATTAGTGAATGTTCTACACAATTGTGGACAAACAGCTGTGTCGTGTAGAATTTATTTTCAATTTTATGAAGCTCATATTATTTTTTGTGGAATTGTGGAAACTCAGAAGGACCACATTACTGGTATAATGGACAACGGGACTCCGAGAAGAGGGAAATCATGGACGAAATGTTATCAATTGTACACTAAGTGCGCTGGGTCTTGTATCATAGAACCCCAAGGAACAAGTGAGCTGCTAGCGCCACGTCAAGCAATGCAAATAGTTTCAATGTTGAGCTTAGCAAAATCGATATATAAAGTGTCTGTCTGTATGTCATTCTTGCGATCAAATAAATTTAGAGAGGAACTAGGCAATCTTTATACATTAGAATTCTATAGGATGTAACCCTGTTAGAAACATATTTTGATAGTTTAGTCTGGCATAATTTGACACTAAATAAATCTGTTCTACTGGACTACAATATGTTCTAGGCTACCAGTCTACGTGTCCCTTGGACCTCATCTTTCCGGAGTTCTATCACCATCACGCTCATAACATCACGATTCTTCATTGGACATTTCATATCGACACTTTTGAGCTTAGTGCAAAGTCTGAGGACAATAGTATGAGGGTATAGTTCACCATACGGTATGTATTTCTTGACGTGACAGATGCAACTGAGTTGCCGTGCATCTCGCGAAGAGGAACCTTTTAACTTTCGAGCGGACGCTCGCCGCAGTTGCCACACTGCCAACCTCTCAATAAGCAAGTACTTTGCTTTATATAGCTCAATGAGTGATTCATGTTAATCTTAAATGGCCATTAATTATTCTGTTCTACAATATATCATAATAGAACCTGCCTAGGAAGATGTCTCTCCCCCATCACCCGCATCCGTACCGATACACCATCGTGAACCTTCACACTGGCACTTCTGAGCTGCCATAATGCAATGTACGCGTACTTCTTAATGGGTACGTACCCCATAACATTGGCGGCATCGAGACAATTGTCAAAGAGCTTTCACAAAGTAGATTTATCAGATCAGATATAATTGAAACTGTACCGAAGTTTTAGCTGCTGGAAATTCGTTCAAGTCTTCATATTTGCATCTCGAATTTAGATATAAAAACCCGAGTATAATGCAAGTAGCATTCGTAAATGGAAAGCTCAATTGTGCTTCGCCTTTGTCTACGGCTTTGGTTGTGGCGGAGGCAACCACGGAGGCAATTAGGACTGCCGTCCTCTGCTGCTGCTGAATTGCTCGACTTTACGTCATCTCGGTGTACTTACGGCAACTCCTTCTGAATGGCGCCAGCTTAAATATAGCTCTTTTGAAGGGGAATCGATAGTGTCATCTGGCACTCACTTTTCTACTTGACACCATGGTGATCGATGACGCAGTCAGTTGCTGTACAGTGAAAACTTATGTCAAAAACACCGCCTGGCTGTGACAATTTACACATATATACTGTACATTTTGCACGTACAAGGAATAGGTAACCGGGTGTGATCTGAGTATGAGTGCGCCTCATTCGGCGCGAAAGAAAGGGTCTTCGGGCGTTCGAAGCTAACACATGTATCAATACAAAAAATGAGGTCATGTACCAACTAGTTATATGAATCAGTCTTTCTTAATTCCAATCACGCGAAAATGTCAAACATAGCCGGGTATCCGCAAATCCTTTGGTCTGCGTACGCATGAGCATCCTGCATATATCCTTATGATAATACATTGATTCTGCTGACAAAAACTTAATCCGGTATATATTACAGCTATGTCACCCAAAATGGGTCGGCGGCACTCAGTTCAGACCGATACATGTCAGTTGGGATCGCATAGATCAAGAAGTGGATCATTCGATGATTATTACGCAGAGTGCGAATCTCGACGTGCGTCAACACTTTCGTCCACACTGTACGTTGGTGCAACGTTTGTAATGACGGTGATGCAATGAGCGCGCATTTATATTGGGTGGTAGATCCATGATGCCTTAAGATGCCGTTACTTTCCGGTCGTCAATTTCTCTCCGGTAACAACACTTGAACATCGAAGGCTTCTTTGGTGGCGCCGGTGTCGGCGATGCCGCGAGAATACATCCCTACACGGCTTTGCGCAGCACGTATCAGATGTCTCGTCTTCAAGAAATGCGATTGCCAGAGCTAGTAATTTTCCAGACTGCTCAAAGCATGGCTCTGAACTTTGATGAGTGCGACTCAACTTCTTAACGTTATGTATATAAAGTAACGAATATTTGTACACCAATATTTAAAGGCCGCTTGGATTGCCCCATGCGAATAGAAGCAGTTGTTGAAGTCACTAAGGTATCCTTTTTTAAGATATTAACGCAAATACGCCTTGCGAAATAGACTCGAGTGCTGCGTGGCGATATAAATAGGTCAACATATGAAAACATCGCTACAACGTATTGCTTGACTACATGAGTCAGTATATGGACTTTTCTCAACTCAAAGCTCGCACCAAAATGTTCGGTATGGAACAATAACTTAGTATATATATTGATACGCACATGCACTGTACTTGTACATTCGATGTACTGTGTAATATCGCACATATGCTGTGCAAAGCTGTCACATTTGCTGTAAATTTTCAGCAGAATGATGGCGCTATTTCATCATTATGGCGTTCATAGCCTGATCCCACTGGCATCAGCTAAACTTTACGTTGACTTCGCAATCTACTCAAAGAATTATATCCTCATACTAAAACAGAAGGTGAACTTACTTCTTGTGTAATTGCAACGAACCTCATCTCTATAATTAGCACATACGAGTCTCCGCTCAAATGCGAGATAAACCTGTGTCTGACTTTTAACAAGCTATGGTAGCTAATCATCATGTATCCATCACAACGTATGCACAATGATTATCTGGCAAGACTGCCATGATTCGGCACGCAAGTTATACATGTAATGAAAATTGTTTACTTCCGTGTACCGTAATGACTCTAGCAAAGCGAGATACGCATGTATTTTTTCTGCTCAGACTTCGAAAGATGCAGTTTAAGCATGATACATGTCCTTGTTACAGGAAGGGAGTGGCGGCCAGTTTTCAACATAGCCACAATCGAATTCACCCAAAGCCGTGGAATTCACGAAAACGTCGCTGACCTCAATAATCTAGCGGTTTAAAGCTTACCAGATATTTATCAAGCATTCATGCAGCCAACCGCTAGCACTGGGCACCAAGCCGATATTGCTGTCGCAGATCCATCAGCATTATTAACGTCCTCGTCTGCGAACTCCGGCCTCTCATCGTGGCCCGAGCTTAAGCAGCTTAACGCTGCTGTGACCGTAACACCCTTGGAAAGTGACACATACATACGCAACCGAAAGCGTCAGCGACCATCGGATCCGACATCTCCCACCGCTGCTTCTTTCACCACACCAGAGGACCTCAAGCTCGACTTTTCTGGCTTCGAGATCGGCTTTAACGCTGCATCCACAGTGATGTCGTCGACCCCATTGTCCTTCGCTAGCACCACGTCGGCTGTAACTTATCCTCTGGTGTCAAGCTGCTGTTCTCTCGCTGGTTCTTCCGACAATGTGCTCGTCTTCCTCAAAGCTCTTCAGCTTGCACAAGACTCGGCAGCACTATCAGTGGCCACGCAGCGCCTCGCGCAAGACGGTTTTGACTCGTTGCTCGCACTGGCCTTCGCGTCTGTGAACGATCTGCAACGCGCTGGCATCGCGGACGCTCAGTTTGTCTGGCAACAAGTACACCGCCATTTTCAAAATCGAAGTTTTCAAACCCCAGTCACGCTATCACCCGCTTACACGGTATCGCGATGGTTGGAACTGTGTGGTATCCCAAAGTCGCACATCTATGAGTATGCGGAACATTTGTGCCGTTTAGGCTACTCAAGCGTGCGTGATTTTGAATTCATCGCGCACGATCAACGTGCACTTGCTGTATTTAAGACTGGACACAGCCACCTAGTCGTGCACTCCGTTCAGGTGGCCATTAGCCAGCAGCAGCCTATTATCAATCACCAATACAGCACACAAGGCTTCAATGTATATAATGCTGGATCGACGAGTGCACTACTGCAACCAGTGGACATTATTCGCGAGAACGAGTTGGACGTGCAGGTTTATGACAGTTTTTTGGAAGCTTTGATCGAGCCGACAGAAGCTGAAAAATTTCAGCAGGAGAGCTATACACCCCATAATGCGTTGCCACTCGATCGCGAAAATGACGCAAACTATGTCAACCTTAATGATTCCACTGATGTGTTCGCCAACCACTTGGGCTTTAGTACAACGCCATCGCCTGTACCATCTGACATGTCACTACGACAGCTTCAACAGGAGCATCTGCAGCTGCTGTACGAGGCTGTAAATCTGCCTCGCCCAAACCCTTGCCGTCGAGGCAAAAAAATTTATTGGTCGGTCCTTGCCACAGGTGGCACTAAGATAGATCGATTCACTCCTTTGACCCAATTTACGGCTGCTGAGCTTCAAAACGCATACCTGCGTCAGTTCGAGGTGCCTGCTACCAACTCTATGAAAATAGATGCCTGGAGTGATGAAAATATTCGACAGCTTGAGCACGCAGTCAAGGATCCTCGTTGTCGTCACTTGTCAAAGGTGTGTTGGGAGATGCTAGCCACGGGTCGGACGGGCGTCGACGACTACGCTCCACTGGCTAAGTTTACTGCGTCGCAATTACGTTCACGGTTTCGCTCGCTATTCGGTGACAAGCGCCCACAAAAATTACGCCAAAAGAAGCAGATGCAAAAGCTACAGCATCAACAACAAAAGGAGCTATCGGGTAGCGTAACGCTGTAAAGCATGTGGATTTTTTTGCTCGCTCACTTTGTAGAGTCATTTCACATTAACATACATATACCAAAATTATACCAATTCTTCATAGGCTTTTGTCAAATGTTAAATTATGTCACAAATCGACATTAGTGTGTCCCAATCAATTGTAATCGACTTGTACATGACTTTGTAAGAAATTGACAATTAGCCATGACTTATTGGGGGTCTACAATAACTTACTAGAGTTTCTCCCGATAGTAGTATATGCATTCTGACTCCCAAATTCTAGTACTAAAAAGAAACAGGGTTTGCAACGAGTTTGCCATGCACCTTGCATCGAGGAAGCTTTGACACACAGGGTTCCAGGTTAATGAAGGATGGATTGTACGCTTTACAAAGAGCGGAGCCAGGGGCCTTATTAAAATCGAAGGTTTGACGATACACAATAATAAAGTTCTCTCAATGTAAATATGGTTGTGTTGTGCACGTAAACCTTACACATTTCATCTCGTTTTGCACGATCGTACGAAATTGACATTGTGCTATTGTGTAATTGTGAATATTAATATTCGAAGTGTCTTTCCTGTAAAGGAGAGACCCGAGGTACACATGGGCATACAAACAGTAAAACAGTTCGTTATGAGATATGGTCAATCGCATAAAGTAATTAGTTTTACTCCCAAATTCATGTACCTTCTGAAATAGTAGGTCAAGCAGTATATATAGTAACCGTAGAGCCTCTAGTTAGCGTGGACTCTTTTGAGTCACAAAGTCCACCCTTTTCTGCACAAGGTGCTGTTGCATTTGATAGCACTATGTAACGAGACAAGCATTGTAACTTTGTGTTTTTTACCCCTATATACTTCGTGATAATCTGTATAAAATTTACATTGTATTATCTAATCCGAATCTATATCGGGGTTGCATGGACCCTGATGTGAAGAGGTGGATCACACAAGATGTGTGACTGCACAATGGTGTAACTTCATCTTAATCAGAAGAAACTACGAGGCTGGACTGCCAGTAGTTATGCATTTAATGAGGTTTTTCTATTTCATTTGGAAAACCTATGAATTTAAATATAGGCGGCTTTGCCGCAAATAAAACACAAGAAGTGCATTTACACTCTGAACGGAAGAGGAGTTTATTTGCCTCGGGTTTGACTCTTGGAGTAAGCGAATTGCGATCCGCTACACTCGTATTGGTTCTAATTAAAGAAAGAGCTAAGGCAGCCCCGCTGCACTCGGTAGTATTGTAGTCAAGCTACACCTATGTCGTTACGACTGATCCTCTGTGACTATGGAGTAGTTCTACTCTTTGCCCCAGGGCATGCAGGACGGGCTTAAAAAGCTGATGTCTTTGCTTTGACCTGAGGGCGTGCGCCAAATCGCTTTGCAAGGACCTAAAGCGATCAGCGCGCGCCTGGAGGCGTTTTTAAAATATGAAATTGCTATACTGGCGCACCGAGAGCAGTAGATATCGGTGTTGACTGCGTCCATGACGCCACCGTCGGCGACGGATGACCCCCCCCAGAATCAAGCCGCTCATGGTGGGAGTAAAGACCTTCAAGGGTAAGAATGGAGAGAATCTCCTGCTCTGGGTAAAAGAGGTCGAGATAGCCATGGCGTCCACTATGCCCCAGACTGAGCGACAGTACGTGGCGCTAGCTATCCATAAGCTCGGTAGTTAGCGAGAGAATAGACACTGACGAGTGGCGCTTCGGTCGAAGCAGTGTTTCTCTCCTGGACGGAGTTAAAGCTGCAGCTTTAACGAGTGTGTCTCGCCGCCTACCCAGGCATATCGCGTGCGATAGCGTTTCCTTGCCGCCCGACAAGGCAAGCAAGGATTGGTGCACATTGGCGTGGTCACATCTTCTGTGCACCCTGTCTTCTTTTAAAGAATCAGTGAGTGTGACATTGACTGCCAAATTCAACTCTACGTCGGCACGACTTGGTAGAAATGCACACTCTACAGCTCGTCGAGCGGGCCTGAGCCAATGAATCTCAGCTATACTGGGGACGAGGTGATAGAGATCCGAGCTGACGAGCAGCGTTCGAACACTTGACGGTGTTTTGCCTTTATCGCCTTTGGATTAATTTTCCCTTGCGCAAGGCGCATCAAGGTTCATCAAACCGACATTCCGCTTCTCTCCAATCTAGATTGTCGCTGGGAAACGACGACACCCAGTAGGCGCGGGGGGGCTTACTGGGGAAGGTTGAGTTCCCTTGAACCTCAAGAAGATCGTGAGTACCAGGGCTCAGCCCCGAAGAGCTCCGTGCTCATGAACACCGTACGTGTATGCAAGCCGGACTCGCTGGTTGTAGAAGCGACCATGAAGGTCTTTGAAAAGCCATGGAAGTTCCTGCTCGAATCCGGGGCGTCGGGACAATTATGATCGACGGTCCTCGATCAAAGGAAGTCAGCTGTATGCTCATCCTTGGTTTGGCTGGAACGCCATGAGCCATGGATCGAAGACCTTGGGCACTACGCGCACGTTTCCTGCTGGGGCTTGGTGAGTCATGAACCCATCTCTGTTAGGAAGGAAAAACGCATTTAACGCAGGCATAGCAGCAGGTCTGCCATAGCTCTTTGCGTAGAGGAAGCTAAGCGAAGCTAAGGTAACCGACCTTACGTTCTTCATAAGAACCAGTGCGAGTGTAGCGGATCACAATCCGCTACATTCCCCAAAACCTTGGCCAAGGGTAAATGAAGTCTTAAGTTGCGTTGGAGCCGCCAATATCCAAAATCCTACGTTTTCAAAATTAATTTAGTGATACCTAATTAATATAGAAAACCCTTATTTATGTGTATTACTACTGGAAATCCTGCCACGTGGTGGCTTCTTGTTAAAGTGCAGCCACGCCACTGAGTGAATGCACCAATGTGTGTTATCCACACTTATTTACGGTCACACCATCTTGTGCGACCCGCGACGGGTACGTGTAACCCCGTTACATTCTCCCTTATCTAATTTGTGAATTTTCACAATACTTATTAAACTGTCGCCTCATACGAGGCTTGCGTGTCTGAGACACCGTTACAATCTTAAGAACAACTGTAAAAATTCCCCGCTCTCTGATCTTTGAATCTATGACACGCATAACACCCAGTCTAGCTGGCTCCGAGGGCGCCCGCGGGCAAAGCCATTCTTCTTCTTCTGCACAGGGTGCGTCTCCGAGCAGTAGGTCCGCGGCTTCACGGGAAACGTATCCCAAGTCTTCAGCAACCGAGCGCAACACACCGCGCCCGCCCCGTGCGACGTATTTTCTCGTCGAGTTGACTTCGCGTCGGATACTTCCTTCCCAGGATGGGAAGAAGAAGAGGATGAGGTTCGCCAACGGCGCGACGTAAGCCCAGCTCGAACCTTGTGGACACCGTGTCCGTTCCCCGACCTCACGGCATCCCGGGAAGGTGGTATTATCAACAATCGCCTCGACGACGCGAAGAAGCAGCAATTTAAGGCTACCCACAGGGTGGATCTCATGCGCTCGTATTCATGTTTGGTCATAAACACTTGTGTGGAGTACGGCTTCCGCTCAGCGGATCCCGCTGCAGAAGCAAAAAATGCGATCACTCGATCGTTAGGCGTCTACGTAGTCGGGTCCCGGTCACTACACAAGCTGAGCTTGATCGACTCAAAGCTCTCCGAACTCGCTTTTTGGTACCACGTGAAATTCCAATGGGTCGGTACCGCGCTCGATTAGAGCTCGAAAAGGTGGCACTCCTGTACCCGCAAAGCGGACTTTTCCTGTTGTGCTCGCCCCTAGCGAAACCGCTGCAGATGATGATGGTCTCTTTGAGCGGTGGGTGCAGCGGCCCCGGAAACAAGAAGTAGACCTGCACGCAGAGTGCCATCTAAGATTGAATTTGCCAAACTCAAGGCGTAACGCTGACTTCCTGTGTATTGTCACCCTGTGATATATGGAACAATCCGATACGCTCCCGCGAAGTCTGCGGTTTCTCACACGGGTGAAGCTACGACCACAGCAGCTCAGGATCTTATCTTGAGCTCAGCTCATGGTACTTTGGCTTCCCTGGCTATTGCCGAGAAAAGCGGGGCATACGACGACACGGATCGTTATGATCTCCTCTGGTCATAAGCGTCCACGACGTCTGAGCAGTCTTGCTGAAATGTCACCTCAAACTTCCACGAGCTCTCGGAGTTCGGGTATCCTCGCCACTTAACAAGAATTTGAATTATACCCTGTCGACGACGTCGATTCACTTGGCGTTTCACGTTATAGTGGACGCCACCATTCTCATCGAGAAGAGTCGGCGGCGGGCGATGGCGACTTAATCGATTGACGAACGGTGACTTACGATTCTCTTCGAGCGTTGGAGGACAAAGTCTGTCTTTATCGGCATTCAGCCGAGCATCTTGGCGAGATCGCCTACCGCTGTGCGAAAGACCTCGAGAGCCTAGAGCACTTTGTGTATCGACTCCCTCGCATTGAGGCCTATCGCGCTCTGTCAGAGCACCTCCTAGCTGTCGAGCAGACGAATACGTCACTTCGTTGGACGGTGGAGCATCTAGCACCGCTGGAAACGGAAATGTTGCACATCAAATTCAGAATTAGTTGCTGGTTCAGCTTCTGGGTAGCTGAGTGCCTTTGGGCGCCACTCCAGCGCAAGGCTTCCGCGATCACTTGCGCCGGATCCCTTAAGCAAGCCCACAAAAATCACCGAGTGGGTGCGCATCCTTCGCGGAAGGTAAGCATAAGCAAGGCCTCGATTGGCCATGACCTTGAAGATCTAATAAACCGCTGACAGAGCTGTGTCTTAATAATCAGCAGAGGCTGCATATGTAGGAAACTTTCTAGAATTTAATGAATTTAGGTCTCCGATCTCAAAGTTCTCCGCAATTTCCATCTGCATATTCTTTCTGCATGTCTTGGTTTTCAACCATCGAATCGCGAACGTGTCGTAGAGCACTCAGTCTGGTAGATAGGAAGTCATTGCCTACTTTAAGAACAGCGAGGGAGCACATATGAGACGTTTCGCAGGGTGAAACACTCTCCGAATGT